ATTAAAACAAAATATGTAAATGCAAACATTTATTCATTTTAATTATTCTAAACAGAAGAAAGAAGCCAGAACCCATTCATGAAAAAAATTAATGTAGGTACAGTATGACCACAAAAATTTAAGTAACTATGTATAAATGCATACAGTATATATAAAAAAATTCCCCACTCGCCCCACTTTGGAGCGGTCTCATTCCTTCCTTCAAGCTCAGGTCCTCTACCAGAGGCCTGGGAACTTGAGGGTCCTGCATAGTATCTTTGCTGTTCCTAGGACTGCACTCTTCTGGACAGAGATCTCAAATGTTGTTCCTGGGATCCGTTGGAGCCACTCTCCCAGTTTGGGGGTCACAGCCCCCTGATATGTTTCTCTCTTGTGAGTGTGTTATATATCTCTATATATATATCTATATATATATATATATATATATATATGACACTTGTGATTAAAAAGAAGAACTCAGAGGGCTCTAAGGGTCATTTTGCACATTAAATGTTTCTTTGTATTGTTCTCTGGTTTTAATAAAATTATGCATGTCTTGGGCAAAAAAATACAAAACAGCAGTCCATAACTGGAAGCCAGAATAGCAAATATCTCTACAGCAACACTAAACTTCCCAGGAGAGCTGACATATGCTGGAATAAAAGTGATCCAGACTGCACAGAATATCAGCATGCTGAAGGTGATCAGTTTGGCCTCATTGAAGTTATCAGGCAGTTTCCGAGCCAGAAAAGCCAGAATAAAACATAAGATGGCCAGAAGGCCTATGTACCCAAGTACAGCCCAAAAGCCTACAGCTGATCCCAGAGCACACTCTAAGATGATTTTGTCCTTGAACTGGGTAAAATTCTTAAATGGAAAAGGAGGAGAAATAGTTAACCAGAGGATACATATAACAACCTGGATGAGAGTGAAAGCCACAACACTGAGTCTCTGCTGTGCAGGCCCAAACCATTTCATCACATTACTGCCTGGAAGTGTAGCCCTGAAGGCCATTAACACCACTATAGTTTTCCCCAGAACACAAGAGATACAGAGGACAAAGGTGATGCCGAATGCTGTGTGTCGCAGCATGCAGGACCACTCAGAGGGCCGGCCGATGAAGGTCAGAGAACACAGGAAACACAGAGTCAAGGAGAAGAGCAGCAGGAAGCTCAGCTCAGAGTTGTTGGCCCTGACAATAGGAGTTTTTCTGTAGTGAAAAAATATCAGGGCTATTGTCAGTGCCAGGCAGGCACCAATGACAGAAAAGGTGACCACCAGTATTCCCATCAGTTCCCCGAAGGTAAGGTATTCAATGGCTTTCAAGTCACAGTTATGCCTTTCCTCATTGGACATGTAATCAGAAGGGCATTTGTCACATTTCACTGCATCTGAAAGCATAAATATGTTTAGGCTGTACAGTGCACACATCTTCAGATAGAGCAGCAAAGTGCTGGCAGTGATTTTGCCCAACAGAAACACAATGAGAGTTAGAGTAAAGGCTAGGAATCCTGCTGCCTCACTTGTACTGTTGCTGAACTCCCCATCAGCACAGGTGATGCAATCAAAACAGCAGACAGGCTTGCCTTTCACAAAAGCCTGATGGGACCCTGGTAAACAGCTCTCACTGCAAACCGACCTTGGCACCTACATCACATGACAGCATTAAAAAGTCATTATTCATTTCCATATTCATAATCATATTAATAATGTAATGAATTGAAGAATTCATTTTAGAAATATTTACTTAGTGATCAATAGTGACTCAGAATTGGTGATTATTCATATCTAAAAAAGGGAATAGACTACACTGACTCACCTCAAGATTCTTGCCTGCCCAAATGGCTTTCACACCTTCTTTCATCTCAAACTGCTGACCCTCAGGCCGAGATGCATCATAGTAACCAATGGTCTCAAAGATTATATAACCTGTCTCATCCATTTGCCAGTTTACCAGTGCATAGCGTGCCACAAGGTCACCCAGCTTATTAAAGAACACATTTTCACCACTTTTAGTGGTAAAATTGACCTGGTTCAGATAATGCAGCACCTGCAAGGAAACAGTGACATTTGTTGTTATTTAACTGCATAACATGCAGTAGCTTTGATGTGGGAACTATTTCTGTTGTGTTTACCTGCCATGGTTGCACATTTTCCCTGTCAGCACAAGTGTTGTTCTCAAAAGGTCCCTGTCCATCTTTGCATGAAAACAACATGTCCAGTGCATGACCTACAGTGTACGTGGCCTTGTAAACATTATTCAGCAGACTGGCATCTGAAACATCTGTGAAGCGTGTGTTTGCGTCCCACAGAGACTCGTTCCCTGTGCATGCTGGGACTGAACCCTGAGCTTGGATTTCTTCATGGGGAGTCAGGGTACAGTTGAACACCGTTTCCCACAACTCAATCAGTCCCCGGTCCCCTGGTGTAGTGGAGGGCCTGCTGCTAGTCAGAAACTGCTGTAGTCCAGGGATGTGAGCATTGAGTGCTGCAAAGCCCACTGCCCCCTGGACCACAGCATAGTTTACTGGAGAGGCAATATAACGGTAAGTAATCCAGCCCTCACTCCCCACCCACTGCAGGCCTGTTATATTCTGAGCATGAAGCTCTTTGATAAGAATGTCAAGGTCTGTACCATCAGCAAACGCCACTATTACCTTAGAGGTGGATTTCTTTATAATGGCTATCACCTCTAAGAACCACTTCCTTGAGTCAGTCCTATAAATAGCCACTGAGTACTCAACACACACACCTTCTTTTTCAGCTGCTTCCAGGAAAGTGGCCATGCCACTATTCCCATAGTCAGTGTTAGTTCTAATAGCCCCCACCCAGGTCCAGCCAAAGTGTTTTACCAGCTTTGCCAATGCTTTGCTCTGGTAAAGGTCATTTGGTATGGTTCTGAAGAAAGAAGGATAGTCTCTTCTGTTGCTAAGACATGCACAAGTAGCTGAATGACTGATCTGAAACACATGTAATAAAAAGACATAACATTCATCATCCTTCAGCAATTTTAAATTTTAAAGCAAGGATCTTTTCATTACCTAATATAAAATATACATGTAATAAACCATTTTCAAACATTATATTACTTCTTATTAACCAACACAAATTCACTTTCTGCGAGAGTGTACATGCCCGCCAACACTCACCACAGGTATATGGAAAGGTCCCATGGTGTGAGCAATACTTATTGTAGAGGTGGATGTAGTTTCCCCTATGACAGCATGTACACTAGAGTGTTTGTTACAGCTGTCTTCCCCACTGTCATACCTATTCATCAGGTTTAGTGATGCCCTGATGGACAGAGGGATACTGGGACATGAGTCAAAGATCCTGTAGCCCAGTGTAATTCCAGGTAACAGCTCTGAGCTGTTGTTGATCTCCTCTATGGCAAACATCATAGTGTATGCATACTGAAGCTCTCCTGGGTCGAGTCTGAAAAAGGCAGAGGAAGTAAACTGTGCAATTTGTGTAAAAAATGTCAAACATAAGGATACACACGCATTTATACTTAAAACATGAATGAACAACACAAATTTTAATAACAATTACAGTAACAAATTTTCCATCTTTTTCTTACCCTTCACACTGGATTGTTCCTGGGTTGACTTGGAGAGCTGGACTGAGAGTGACTGGGTTCTGATGGAAGGAGAAAATGCCTCCAATGTTGATGTCTCCCTCTTTAGAAAACTGAGACTGTTCTTTCGTCCAATATATTTGGCACACAGGCTTCCCTCCTCTGACAGCCAGAAGGGAAAGGAGTAGCAGATCTGCAATCAGCAGCATGGCTGCTCACTTACCACCCAAAGCCCAAAGATAAAACCCCTTAGCTCTGAGCATTTTATAGCTATCACAAAGCCACGGGTGTTGGATGTAGTGTCCATGTGAATATTATGTGTCTCACAGCCAATGACAGCACTTGTAGTGTGACTGACAGACAAATGGGCTTGTTAGATAACCCACTAAATTTGCATGTCATCTTAATCTATTCTTTTCTACAGTCATGGCCAAAAATATTGACACGCCTGCATTTATACATTCCCCACAGAACTCCAAAACTGGAGTGGACAAAATTATTGACACCCTCAACTTAATATTTGGTAGCACAGCCTTTGGATAAAATCAGTCACTTCCTGTAACCATAAGTGAGTTTCTTCCACCACTTTACTGGAATCTTGGACCAGTCTTCTTTTGCCAGCTGCTCCAGGTCTCTCAGGTTTGAAGGCTTCCTGCTCCCAGCTGCTGTTCTGACATCTCTCCACAGCTGCTCTATGGGGTTTAGATCTGGACTCATTGCTGGCCACTTCAGAACTCTCCAGCTCATTGTCTGAAACAATTTCTGGTGCTTTCTGAAGTCTGCTTTGGGTCATTGTCCTGCTGTAAGACCCATGACCTCTGACAGAGACCCAATGTTCTGACATTGGGCCCCAGAATTCATTGGTAGTCTTCAGATGTCATAACGCCATACACACAGTCAAGACATCCAGTGGCTGAAGCAGCAGAGCAACCCCAAAACATCAGTGAACCTCCACTGTGTTGGACTGTAGGGACCATGTTCTTTTCTTTGAAGGCCTCGTTTCATTTTCTGAAAACTGCAGAATGGTGTGCTCAACCAAAAAGCTCTATTTTAGCCTTATCTGTCCACAGGACCTTCTCCCACAAGGACTGTGGCTTCATCAGTTAAGTTTTGGCAAACTCTGATCTGGCTTTTTATGTCTCTGTGTCAGCAGTGGGACCCCTGGGTCTCCTACCATAGCATCTCTTGTCATTCAGATGGCGTTGGATAGTGTGAGCGGACACTGTTGCACCCTGTGCCTGCAGGTCAGCTTGAGTTTGTTTGGAAGATGATCGAGGTTCTTTATCCACCATTCCAACAATCCTTTGTTGCAATCTGTCATCTATTTTTCTCTTTTGTCCACGTTCAGGGAGCTTAGCTACAGCGCCATGGGCTGTAAATGTCTTGACAATGTTGCGCACAGTGGACACAGGAACAGCCAGATCTGGAGACGGACTTGGAGCCTTGTTTGCTCACAGGGGACACAGGAACAGCCAGATCTGGAGACGTACTTGGAGCCTTGAGACTGTCCATGCTTTTCCATTACTGTGCTTCTCAAATCCTCAGACATTTCTTTGCTCTTCTTTCTCTTCTCCATGCTCAGTGTGGTCCACATGACACAAAGGTCGAGTCAACATTTTTCCATGTTAACTGTTTACCAGTGTGATTTCTGTGTTGCCAGCACCTGTTGGTTGCTACAGGTGAGTTTCATTACAAACTAAAGGAGCATCACATGCTGGAAATACAACTATTTCTGATGATTCTGAAAATGTGTCAATAATTCTGTCCAGTCCATTTATGGAGTTGTGTGGAAAAGATTTGATTCAGCAAAAAATTTGGTATTGCAACATTTTTCTGAGAGAAGTGGTGGATTTTTGACTTTTATCATAAATAATAAAAAATTAATT